CCTTAAAATTATCAGGTGCTATAGCTCGGTCATTTGGTCCTAACATTGCAATGCAAGCTCCTCTGGATCTAACAAATGCAGATGTCTTAACCTGTTTCACGGTCCTGAAGTCATTAGCTGTAAACTGGCTCTCATTTGCCTTTGCCTAAGATAGATTTGCATCCTCTGCTGTCTGCTCTTCAGCTTTTATCTTCAGCTGGATCAAACACATTTTTGGGTCTCCTTAACAGTGTTTACTCAGTATGCAAATCCTGACAACTTTAACTCTACCATGATTGCTATTTTACTTTTGGATAATAAACAAGTGTTTGTTTGATCTGCAGCTTTTTTCATAGCTATCTCTCCATTAATGTTCCTGTGGCTTACAAAGGCCAAATCAAAAGTGTTCCCTGAGAGGTGGTATTCCTGGGTATCTGCAGAGTTGATAAATGCAGATTATTTAGATAGCAAGAAAGAACACTCCTGCTAGATGGAAAGATGCTTCCATTTGCTTTTTATTATATTTTACTGATGAAAATACTATGCCTCAAACATGAGTAGAGATTTCTGTACTAACTAACTGCATTTGGTTTTGTTTGTGATCAAATGAGGAATACTGAGAGCTAATGGCGAAAGCATTTCTGGCAAATAGTGACTGTGAATTTCACTTCCTAGCAGCATCAACTAATGAAATGTTGTTTCAGGTGTGTGTGAAAGGGCCAAACGTCTTTTCTGGTTATTTGAAAGATCCAGAGAAAACAGCAGAGGCTCTTGACAAAGATGGCTGGCTTCATACAGGAGATATTGGGAAATGGCTACCTGTAAGTGGACTTGGGAAACTGAGGTCTATTTCTGTAGTTGCTGTTGCTAACTTAACAAATGAAGCTACGTATTTGGTATCAAAAATAATTAACTGGGGCAAGACAATAAGTCTAGGAAGAGGATAGCACTTACAACTGGTACTGTTATATATGAAACAATGTGAAGGATGCAAGACAGTTTATTCACACAAGTTATTATTCATAAAACAGTAAAAAACTGTTAGAGCCGGAGCCCTGTAAAACTAATGGGAGAAAGTAGACACTGGGCACATCTAACCTAACTGAAACTAGAGAAAGCCTCAGAATAGGCACTGTTAATGCTCTCCACCCTTACTCCGCCAACATAGATTGACTATTAAGCCAGAATTTAAGTAGCAACACTTCTGGTCTGTTGAAGACTACTTGCAAATGTTGCAAAATGGTCTCTGAAGTAGAAATGCATAAAAGCAAGCTCTTGTTCATGTTTTAATTCTGGTGTGTTACGTGATCTGCCACAGAATGCTTAAGCTGCATAGGCCAGTTACTGTGCAAAGGGCCTCTTCTGACCAGAAATCATTTCTGCCAACAGAATGGTACACTGAAGATCATTGACCGGAAAAAACACATATTTAAACTGGCCCAGGGAGAGTACATAGCACCAGAGAAAATAGAGAATGTGTACCTGAGAAGTGAACCTCTTGCTCAGGTGTTTGTCCATGGAGAGAGCCTGCAGGTAAGCATTCTTCGGGTAATTTT